CCACGACCTAAGGATTTGATTTCTGATCTCCTCAGACTCCCTTGAACCTTGTGCAATCACATCTTCAACTTCCTTCTGAACCACATCTTGTTTTCGCTGTAATTCTTGTATAGTTTCGCGGCTATCATCGAAATATTGGGCAATCGAGGCAGGCCAGTTCTCGGCAGCAGCTGTTGATGGGGAATGCTTTCTACCCCCGGTGTTTCTCCTCTGGCTATGGTGCTGCAAAACGCTGGATTCTCGCACGACGACCTGGACTGCGGCCGCAGGAGAATTCGCGATTTCGCCAGGGCCTCCATGGGCTCGAACCGTTGGAAAACTTTCCCCACCAGTGGCATCATGTTGATCATCGTTTATAAGGTCTGCTTCGTTCCTTACCATTCCATGCCGTGGAAGTCCATCTCGACCCAACGTTCTCAATCGTATAACTCTGCTCCCCGCCTGAAAGTTCTGTGAGCCAACCGCAATTACCATCACATTGTAGAAATTGCCCGGCTTAAGTCCTTCGATGATAACGGTTTCTCCCTGGGTCGATTCGCCAACTACATGGTAGGAATTTAGCGTAAGTACTAAGATTGTAAGGCATTATAGAGATCTCACCCTCGACACCATTTACTTGGAGGAGATATCGAACCACGCCTTTATTCGGTGCAGATGATGACCAATGTAAAGTTAAGGAATCGGATTTGATGCATGCGAGAGAAACTTCTGGTGGATCTGGGACCTCGACGCCTAGAATGCTAATGAGTTGTGGAAGAGGGGTCCAAAGAACCTCCCATGCCCTCCTTAGCAACCTTTGACATAAGACGTTAGTAAGTCTTATTTCTGTAGTTCGTTTGGATGATATGCGACGAACCAGAAGAGCGCCGTACAGGTCACTATCGACTGAATTAAAAACATGTATTTGTGAAGCTCTCTGGCATGACTAAACACCCAGTCAATCAAGCTGGTGTAGTAGTCGACAGCGTTCATACAGAATCCGAACAGAACTCAAACACTCAAAGAAGAGGATGTTGAGATCGAATCACGGCAAAAAGGAAAAGTACGGGATAGTAGAATGGTAGGGCAAAGTTGATGGGTGAAGGGTGTGATGAATTTGAATAAAGAGGTGGTGGTATGTACAAATTCGCGATTACTCTCATTATAGCTAGCTTTCTTTTGCTTTTTTACAACGGTCAATGTTTCCACATTTTAAGACACCTCAGGCAATTATGCATAAATTTCCCTCCTCAATTTGCCTTATATAGCCAATTAAATTAAATTTTTATGATAAGTGGATCTAAAGATCAATTATGACCAATTATATCAGCAAAATATTCACTACCGACACGACGCTAGTACCTCAAGCCGCCTGGGCGCCGCCGCTTCCAACAATGGTTTTCTAGAACTGCGAGGGAAGGAACTATCTGGGGATACCAGTACTAATTAAGACGATTAGATGGGAAGACTAGGTCAACCGTTACACTGATATGAAGATTCCATGTTGATTCTACAGTACTCGTACTCGAGTAGATAAAAATCACTTAATGCGGGGTGTTTCAAGTGATAGATATAGACTTTTGGAAATGAAGTGAAGTTTGAATTAGGTGAATGGTGAGATGATTAACTTCATATGCAACTACCGGTAGTTATCGATGGAAACAATGCCAAGGAGACACATTGTGTTATGGTAGAGTCATTTTCTATCTTCTGATACACAACAAGAGCACCGAGCCATTGTTACTGTATGGTCTACTCGAGTATGATTTTGTCACTCGGGTCTCATACTAGATTGACATTTCACATCTTCTACGAGTACACTTATCTAAATTATAGAATAATATAATACTACTCGTCCTTTCGGAATCCTTCACTTATAATATACCTAGTACCTACAGTACCTTATCTTTCTTACCTCACCTCATTCTAACCCGTTCGTTCTACCCATTCATCAGCGCGCCCCTTTTCACATGTGAATAATTTCATATTGACCGATATCTGTAGATTTATTACCTAGGTAAACTTTCATAGACCCCACGACGAAGAAGCCGAGCGATTACACAAATACGAGAAGAGCTTTTCTTACTTTTCTTTAGGAAAAGAATCAATCAATTACCTAGGTTAGTACAATTGATTATCTCAATAGCTTGGATATTCTTGTTACCTGTTTCTCTATATCCAAAACCCATCAAACAACTACCTACTTACTTACTACAATACCTACCAGTAAATACCTACTAGGTAACTCTTACCAGGTTGTTGTACAGGTATGTATATCTTTCGGTTCACGGGTGTGTCGGAAATAGAAAATTGTGCTTCGATGCATCGAATTTTTGCTGCATGACCATTGACTAGGACCTTTGGGGATTCGATGAGCAGGGGTAAAGGGAAGGGGAAGGGGTGAATAGCAATCAAGAAAATGATTCAATACGATTCCTTTTGGTGGAGTTTGAACTTTGAAGACGAGAAAGCTTACCAGTATATATAATATCTATATATGTAGGTACCTACTCCGTACTTCAACCTACCGCAAAGAGCTTTGTCCACCTTCCATTCAAACATTCGCATTCCCAGTCCCAACCCTTCAAATTACTCTCAACATCAACATCAACAGTTTCTCAAATCTCACTCCTTTCCCCTCTCAACCAAAGAACTCCTACAATTCAAGCTTCTTCATTGCTTCTAACTTTGATCTCAAACTTCAAACTTTTACATTCACATTCGCATTCACATTCACTCGTTATCGTCCTTTTGATCCCAGACGTCTTACTGTATTATATTAAAAACATTTGCCTACAATACAATAGAACAATACTACTTCTAAATTCTTTATTTCAAACCATCTCAAATACACATTTCATCAAATAACCAGCTAGGAGACCCCTATCTGATCAGTCGCAAGATCTGAGAGTTCATGCATAATCGAGTTGACTTGTAAATCCTATAAGTTTAATCCTCAACCTTTCGATTATCGGGGCGCATTTTCAAACCTTTCGTTGGTGACATCCGCCTCCGTGCTACCTCACATCTCAACAACGAGACTTTACTTTATAACAACGAGACTGCAATGCAGTATGTGCGAAGCATCAGCGGTTCGGTTTCGAAAACATGGAACTCCATCAATCCTGCAACCCTTAGCGGAGCTATCGATGTCATAGTCGTTGAACAGGAAGATGGATCGTTGGCATGTTCGCCATTCCACGTCCGATTCGGGAAGTTCTCTTTACTTCGGCCATACGAGAAGAAGGTCGAATTTAGAGTCAACGATGTCAAACAAGATTATGCGATGAAGCTGGGGGAGGGGGGAGAAGCATTCTTCGTTTTCGAGACGAGTGACAATATTCCAGAAGCTATGCAAACATCACCCCTTGTTTCGCCAGTTTCCAGTCCGCCATTGCCAGCAACAGGTTCAGAGGTGTCGAGCCTGTCGGAACCCGATTTTCTAGCCTTGGATATGGGTCATCGAAGTTTAAGATCAGGCAGCTTTACAAAGTCTGCCGGAGAACCATATCCTAGGAGGCAAAGTAATATCAGTAAGCTGCCAAGCTTCCGCTCAAAGGTTGTTTACTGACTGGAATAGGTGCTTTGACGCCGCCATCGTTGTCTTCAGAACATGCAAGTGGCAAACCCCTTTCCGGCGATTGGCCAGGAGTTACTCGTAGCCATACAGACGAATTGTTATCATCCTCGGCTCGAACCAATGTTAGCGATTTGACGGAACGAGACAGGCAAACACGATCTATGACACCAACCATTGCAGCTGTCGATGGACAATCGGACTTCTTCACTGAAAGGTCGCACAGTCCTCCACCTTTACCAACCCGCGAAGCAATAGAAAGGGCGATGGCGTTGTCAAATAGACTTCAAGCATCAAACATACCAAGTCAAGTTACCGAGACCGGGGATCTGATGTTGGATATGACTGGCTACAAAAGTAGTGACGATGACGCTCTTCGAGCAGAAGTTATTGCGCGAAAGATTCTATCGGAAGAATTAGAAGGCAATTATGACATCGGTGCTCTAATCGGTGCGGATGAGCATGGAAATCTTTGGATATACAGTAGTGAGGAGGCAAAAGAGGCTGCAAGTCAGAGGGCGGCATTAGCAGGCATCACGAATGCCTCTGCGTTGACCACTGATGCTTCATCGGATCCAGGATATAACAGCGAAACAGACAGTGATATCATTCTTCATCCACCAATTGCTCCAACGCACCGACGTGCCGATTCTGATTCATTGGGCATGCAGACACCTCCTAAGACACCCACCGGGACTGCCGGTGATCCGAATCGGAACTATGCCAAAACTTTGCGGTTGACTAGTGATCAATTGAAAGCTCTCGGCCTCAAGTCTGGACCAAATCCTGTGAGCTTCACGGTTAATCGAGCAACATGTCAATCGAATATGTATCTCTGGAAATATGATGTCCCTATTGTGATTTCTGATATTGACGGTACCATCACAAAATCAGATGCTCTTGGCCATGTTCTTAACATGATTGGAAGAGATTGGACTCATATTGGAGTTGCTAAACTTTACACTGAGATTGTCAACAATGGTTACAATATCATGTATTTGACATCTCGCTCAGTAGGTCAGGCTGATAATACCAGAGCATATCTCAACGGAGTCGTGCAGGAAAATTATCGTTTACCGAAAGGTCCAATGATCTTGAGTCCCGATAGATTGCTTGCAGCTTTGAGACGAGAGATTTACATCCGGAAACCAGAAGTCTTCAAAATGGCATGTTTACGAGATATTAAAAACTTGTTCGGCCCCAATCGCACACCATTCTACGCAGGTTTCGGTAACAGACTCACCGATGCGTTGTCGTACCGTTCTGTTAGTATTCCCAGCAATCGTATTTTCACGATCAACAGTTACGCAGAAGTATCGTTAGATTTGCTCAGTCTCAACAAATTACGATACAGCTATGTGAATATGCGAGAGGTCGTTGATCATTACTTCCCACCGGTAAACACTCTTATCACAGGCGGAGGTGAAGAATATACCGATTTCACATATTGGCGAGAACCTGTTCTCGAAATAGATGACTTCAGTGGTTCCGAGAGCGATGAAAGGGATCTCGAGGAAAGAGAAAACGAGGAGGACGAGGAAGAAGAGGAAGAAGAGGAAGAAGATAATGAACAGATGGGTGAAAGTTACATTTCTCGCGGATCTATAGATGAAGAAACTTACTACGAGGAAGGCCTGGATGAAAGTCTTTTGATGGAGTCGATAGAAGGTGATGATGGTTTGGCAAGAAGTATGCTGTTAGAAGGGGAAGATCAAGGCCAAAAACATTACGATAATGCGATTGAAGAGGCAGAAGACGAAGATGCAGAAGATGCAGAAGACGAAGTAGTCGCAGAAGACGAAGAAGAATCTCCACTGGAAGAGGGCGGTGTTAGACTACACGATCAACGCACTCCCGAGCCCGAGACACGTGATTCAGATGCCGAAGCGATTACGGGAATGAAAGATCTTGCCTTGGAGAGGGAAGATTCTGATCATAAGACAGTCTAGGACTCGATTGCAGAGACACCGGATTCAATATTCGTGTATACTCAGTTGCAGTGGCCATGGATGTGAGACTAAACAAAGACGCAATCAAACGAGAGATGGGAAATCAACAAGTAAGAGCAATTGCGCTGGAGTTGCAGCGAAACGGCAAGAGTTGTACATTAGCATGTTGTAGGAGTTGAGATGGACAAGCGTGGGATGGGCTGGGACTTTATACTTTGCACGGTCAACTGTTGGTGCTTTTCCTGGGTGATTCGGTTTGGTTCGGTATGGATACAGGAGGCATGGGAGAAAGGCATTGCGTGGGAGTTGACTTTTTCATAACCTTTTTAATTTCAAATATGGAAGTGAAGCGATTTCATATATACTCTTCTAAGAAATTTCATGAGATGAGGTTTAATATGCTTGATATTGATATTGAATTACTCCTCAAAAACCATGCTTGTATATATATATCCCTAGGTACATACATATGACCATGCATGCATAGAGCGTAGAGCGAGCATGAAAGGCACGAAAGTTTAAGGGGCTCGCTTCGCTAGCTCTTTCCTGATACTAATAAATTGCTACGCAGCTACATAGCGTTGCGTGTTTTCCCATGCATGCATACATGTATGGACACAAGATCCTCTCGGAGTTCCTTTCCTTTCCTTTCCTTTCTTTTTATTTCATATTATATTATATTATATTATATTATATTATATTATATTTTTCCTCTGTTCAAATTCTGTTGTACGAGTACTCGTAATCATAATCATAATCAGTCGCTGATTACTATATGTACTAGATAGAGGTGATGGTGGTGGGGTGGGTAGAAAAATACAGTATAGACCGTACGGAGTATAGGTACTGTATGTAGTACTCGAGTACTTGAGTGTAGTAGGTAGGGAAAGAAAGAATAGGGGAGGTTTTGATTCATGTATTGGTATATTGGTATGTTTTTTGGGGTGTTTGATTTTTGCGAGTGGGGTTTTTGCTAGTGGGGGTTTGCGAGTAAGGGGGTTTGAAGATTTAAATGCTCATCTTGCTGACTATTTATTTATTTATTTATTTATTTATTTATTTATTTATTTATCTGTATTATATCGAATACTTAGGAATGGGGAATAGGGAAGGGAGGAAAGATAGATGGATGAAGAGGGTTCTTTCGTTGAGGTGAGGTGATAGAGGAAGAGGAAGAGGAAGAATATGTGCAAGTGAGTGTTCGTTGCGTGCTGATCGATGGATGCTTTTGCTTGCTTTTATTGATGAAGGTGGGAATACTCTTTTGGCTTTGACTGTGACTTGGGCTGGGAAAGTCTTTTGTCTTCCTTCTTCTTCTTCTTTGCGATGTAGAGGCAGAGCCATGGTGTTCCCGCTTCATTTGTGTGCAAAGATTCCATTATCTTACAGGCAAGGGCAAGATGAGGATTCTCTAATGCTCTCCCTTTCTTTTTCTTTCCCTTTCCTTTCCCCGTCATTTCCCTCTTCTTCTTTCCATACTCTTCGAGCGATTCCCTGCACTTCTCTTTAAACTCCTCGAGCTTTTCTTCCTGTATCTCGAAAAGCCTGCAGGATCCCGGCATAATTCGTGGCGCACCTTGTACTTTGTACATGAGCATTGTGTATGGAGGTATTCAGTATCGTGCGGTGGAAAGACGATGGAAAGAAGAATGGGGTTGAAAATGGCGCAGGGTCAGATACTGAGGGTGTATTGACCTCCTTCGCTGCTTGAATATTGGGGAAGACAAGATAGGAGGGCGATTGATATCGATTAAAAGTTGCGTTCAATATACGCAAGGAGGGTTCATATACTCATCTTGCGAATTCCTTGAATGAGATCGCAGATTTCCGAATCTTCATCATCATTACCGACAGCTACTGATTGGGACGTCGAAGGATCGACCCCTATATACGAATCTGAGCGCATATTGAAGGATGGTTTGGGAGTGGGGGTTCGTATGCGAACTGCTTGTATTTCCAACCAACGGTCAGGACTTGATGTTCGTATGGGGACTGATTGTATTTCTAGCCAATGTTCGGGACTTGATGTTCGTTTCGAGGGTGAGGGTGAGGGTGAGGGTGAGGGGGATTGTATGTATAAAGATTCTTCGAGGCTACCAGTCGAAGGTTTAAATGGACCGTAACTCGAGGAACTAGAAGTGTGCGAACTACTCATGCTTGGTGTTCGACTAGAATTTGTATTTGTGTTTGAATTTGAATTTGAATCTGGGTGTATGTCGAGGGATCGTTGGGATTCGGAACTCATAATTCGTCTGGAGGATGGCAATGGAATAAGACTTGTTTGTATACCCAGATATCGTGGAAGGATCAAGACTCGAAAAGAGAGGTCTGGATATCCATTACATACCGGTATCGAATTCGGGCTTTTCTTTCGATGGCGAGTAAGCATTACGGATTCTGGGTTGCGATTGATTCTGGTACGAGTTCTTGTTCATTCATTCTTTGCTCACACTTACTGTATTTTGGATTTTCACCCGGTGCTCAACAAGTCAAAAAATAATGGTTTGCCACATTCAAATCACTAGCTCATTCATTGGTGTTGATGTTTTAAATTTAAACTTGATCAATTGCTAGTAGGGACGTCGAAGATGATATCATGATTACCTAGGCACTTTATCGGGTCGCCACCTGGTAGTTTCCCCGGATCCACCATTCGCGCTATTGTTCAATGGTAAAGACAACCTCATTCCCTCCAGCATCAAAACTCCCTCGAAACATAAATTTCCTTCCTGTTGATAACAACTGTATTGCAAGGCCCAAATCACTAACTCTTATAGCTATCAGGTACCAAATGACCAAACGAGCAATTGAAGTAATCAAAAAGCCCGATTTCCCTAAAAGACCAGCTGTATCAACCAAAACGTGCATGACGAGGACACCACCATATTTCTTGAGTAAGTCTGAGTTGGTAGGTGTTGAAGACCAGAAAGTTACGCATCAATAAAAAGGAGGTAATCATCATGCATACTTGCGTTTACCCACTCTATACCATGAAACTTTTATATATTTCTCAAAGTCAGACATCCATTATCTGCAAGCATTCCATGTGTGATTCAGGATGGTGGTGGGGGAATTCAACTTACCATGCGATACAAGTCATCGTATCCTTTACCCTCACTAAGCTTGGTAGCGATATATAGCTCGGTCTTGGCTCCTGGAATTGGTGCTTCAGTGGCTGGTTCCTCAGAGGCTGGGCCAGGTGTCTCGGGAGCGGTGGAGATGGAGGTTTCGTTGGAAGCTGCGTCAGGAGCGGTGGAGACGGAAGTGTCATTGGCAGCTACCTGAGCGCGTTTCTGGTCGTCGCTGCGGAGGAGGATGACGAGAGCATTTCTAAATGAGGGCTCGATGCTTCGTTCGGCAATGAGACGGATGATTTGGGCAATGCTGAGGCGATCGTAGTCGACGAGCGCATCGGCAGTGTTACCGGATGGGGACATGCTGACGATGCTTTTGGCTTCTATGGTGAGATGGGTTGGTGGCTTAAGGGTGAGAAATTTGAAAGGAAGGTGGAATTTTGATACTGGGATGTAGCGAAATGGGAAGTGTGAGCTGGCCATTGAGGCTTTTCTTTTTGGTTTGTGAGAAAGACCTTTATCAATACCAAATCAAAATAAAACCAAGTCTAGATAAGACTGGAAGATGGGTGAATGGTTGATTGTATCGTTATTGAGGTTGGTTTGTTTTTGAAAGTTCTTGGGTGGGTGTTGAGAAGAAATTTATAGAGGTGCTCACTAGCTCGATTCATATTGCTATGCCGACCTCTGTTCCACACTTCTAAACAAACAAGAATCTGATGTTATGAATATGGGACACTTCTTTTGGGTGTGGTTTACTTTATTTGTGAGTTATGGGTCTTGTTTAATTAGACTTTTATGTACTCAAATACTAGTTTAAGGGAAAGGGGGTGATGATGTTTGATAAAGTTCTTTTGTTTTGGAGTTTGGACAGTTTTGGCTGTGCCTCACTTGAAGATACTTATACCATTGGTAAACATGCCATCACTCTATAAATTGAGATTCTTCAAAGAGAATTTAGGATTGTCATTTCTTGTATGTAGACATGATCTTGGGAATAGATGTTGTCTTCTCGAGAAACAATTTAACCGAGGACTCCTATCTTATTTTCAAGATATCAATCCTACACTACAATATAAATACAAAGGCATGTAAATATGTCTTCAAAGTTTCTCTAGTAAACAAGATTCCTAAAATAAGCTTGAATATTTATACGTTTTGTGTGGCTTTATTTCTGACAATTAATAGAGTGAGGGAGGTATGGGTGTATGATGGTTGGAAATATATGTGACTCCTGTTCTCACTTAAGATTTGGGAGGATTCGAGTGTGGAGAGTGGGAGTGAGTAGGACATGAATAGATAGATGCATAGAGTGGGACACATATGAGGTACTGGGTTGATTTAAAGAAGATTTGTGTTCATCACTTTACAAAATATAATTTTACCTGGTGGCTTTTGGGAATGAAGAGGATTTATGCCTGAAAGAGAAAATGAGTGTGTAGAGGTTAGTTAGTATTTGGAATACTGGTATGTAGAGTATTAAGTAAATATAGAATGGATAGGGCAAATAAGATCACGTTCATTATGATATGATATCATGACTTGCATGCAGTTTCTCAAAATACTCATGTGTTGTAACTATTCTTGTATAGAGATCCAGATCAAGATTGAGGTATGGAAATCATGGATACTTCACCCATCTCATTACCACTATTGTTCTCACAAATCCAAAATCTATATCTATCCATCCACTCATCCATCCATCCATCCATAACTAGCTACCTTTAAACTGACCACCTCACCTCACCTCACCTCACCTCACCTCACCTCACCTCACCTCATCTCATCTCATCTACATGAAACGAATAAATTTCTTAGCCCTTATTACTTGGTACCCGTATCCTGCACCTTGCGTTTCTTCGATTCGGTACTCATTGAAGCTGTACTTGAGTTTGAGTTTGAGTTTGAGTTTTTGAGAGTAATATTTTGAATTTCAGTTTCATCCGCTTCCTCTCTTCCTCTTGAGAGATTCGGAGACGAACTTCCCCGAGTTTTCGTTTTAGTGGGTTGGTTGGCTCATTTGAGTTTTGGTCTTGCTTTGGGTCTGGATGTGGATCTGGATCTGTATTTGGATTTTGAATCTGATTTCGTGCCGAAAGTTCAAGTTGAACTGCAATCGCATCATTTCCCACCCGCACATTTGTAGATTCATTGTCATCTTTATCTTCTCCTTGACCTTTGAGAGATACAAGAGCATCGGAATTCTTCCCATTATCATTTTTATCCTTGTGGTCCATATCCCCTTCAATATTCATAACATCCGTCTGCGTATGCGAAACCGTCTGTGAATGCGACAATTGCATGTTGACTTGCGTTTTTACATCCACGTTTGCGGGGAGGATAGGAAGCTCGAGATCGGGGTTGTTGAGGTTGTTGAGGGTGCGGCTCAGGAGGATTTCTAGTTTGGGGGAGGAGAGGTTAGGGGTTTGGTTTGGTTTGGTGGGTGGGCGGGTGGATGGTTGGATGGGAGGAAGGAAATTGTGATGGGATGGGATGGGATGGGATGAGGTTGAGGGTAGGAAGTAAATGATTGAGAAAGTAGGGAAGAACATGATAGGATCATTAGGATGAGAAATCCCATAAGCAAGGAATAGAGATAAGTAAATATCATACCAATTCAGTTTCTCCCTCAAGAATCTTCCGTTCGATAGCAGCTAGTTCCGTAGCCTGTTGTTGGCGATGGATATGGCGAGAGTGATATTGGAGGAGAATAATAAGGCCTTCTTTGAATGTTGGTTTTTGTATACCGAGATCTGAGAGGCGATCGAGGAGCTCTTTGATGCTGAGCGCGTTGTAGTCCATGCTTGTGGTTGGGATTATCAATGTGGAGTTATGGAGGTGAGTGTGGTTTGGTGTTGGGAAGAGGGAGGGGGGAGAATATTGAGGATGGGTTGTTGAAGGTTGAAGGTCGGAGGTTGGGTGCATGGTGGATGGTGTGTTGTGGATGGGGTTATTTTTTATAGATGGATGATTGGATGGATAGATAAATAAACAAATAAATAGAAAGTCAATACAATTTAGTTTGGTTTAGCGTGTAGCAGATTGGCTATAACAGCAAGTTAATCAGTGAATTTGATTTAGTGAATGAGATGAGCTCAAGGTTATCCATTGTTTGTTATCAATGAAAATGACATAAGTTGGCTATACACAGACAATGACAATGCATCTACACATGTCAGCAAAATATCAGTAGTTCGAAATCGAAAATGTGTTAATTGGATGATATCTGCCATTGCCCTATGGTCGCCGTCGTTGTTCGCTCATCAAGTGAGATCACCATAGAGCGCAAAGATTGGGTACCACCATCATCAAGTCGTAGGTTCGGCTGCGCATTTAGAATTTTTTTTTGATACAGCCTAGCAGCATAATTATCATCCTTGGCACACAAACCAAAAGCGTTGTGGACATGGGATATATAGCTAAGTAAGGGTCAACTCGGTATCGAAGCATTTAATGAGCTAAAAGAACGATCGGAAGATCGAACGAAGTAGCAAAAAGATAATAATACGGGAAGTGTCATTTCAGCTCTGGATTGGCACATCGGAATCAATCTAAGTGCATATAAGAAGCACATTTGCTACACTAAGAACTTCATGTTGAGGAATGGTCACCGGCACCGGGAATTCTCATAATACCAGAGAGCTGCAGCAGAATGAAGTAAGGACTCGAGTTTGATGGGACATACTAGAAAGCAATTTGATCACCACGACATTTCATTTGCTGTTAGCACAATTCAGTATCAAACAACGACAACAATAAATGGCAACGAGAGGTATATACGATAAACATTGATAAACGTGCATGCATGCTCTGACTGACTTCAAAACTACACAGAACCCACAAGTCCAATACAAACATGGACGAATCTTCATGTAGTTTCGTCCTATGCAGTCTGTACAGATGTTGCTATCTTCCGAAGCATAGATTGGGTGTCACTTATATACTGTGGTGGTCAAATGCCAATTTGATTAAGGATCTAACCTAAGTTCATCATAACCAGTACAAATCGAAAGGCAACGCAACCCACCATATCTCTTTCCAGGCCGAGAAAGGGAGATGACTGGGGAATTCGGGCCACCTAATACACTACCACAGAGCGCTACCTGCAAACTACACAAAAGAAACGCTCCGGAGATGGAAAATAAAGTGCAGAAAAGCCGTGTTTCAAGTCAACATCTAGATCATGGTTGAGTAGCCGTGTCTGAGAGGTTATGGAGTATAGTCAGAACCTGTATTGTATTCGGCACACTTGATGCCAAAACAGAGTACAAAAGTACAGAGTGTGCAAATTTCAATGTTGACAATGAAGGAGTAGTAACAACAAAACACAGCATATCATATAGTCATCAGATCGTAGATGACCTCCCTTTCTAGATACATATATCTAACACCCCATCCAACCATTCATTCCCCAAACCAGATCATTCATCTACCCTCATCCTCGCCTAACATATATCAAAACATCTACCCAAGCCATCACAACCATCCCACCATCTGGTAGAGCTGCTAGTATAGCTAATTGGAACCAGTCGCCCAGTGAAGCAAGAGTTCCCATTCCGATCCTGCATTGACCTCGCATCGATCTCGAGATGTGGCCGGGTGGATAATTGGCTAGCTCAATACGTCCTCAAATGGCGAATCTCCCCTGTGGCGCGAAAGGTCGCGCCGGGTAAGTTTTTACATTTATGAATGGTTATGCTTTGAAGGACAGGATCGGTTCGAGAAAAGCGGGGCGGGCTGGAATGGAGGGGAGGAAACGGGTGATGCTCCAGTGCAGACTTTGTTATGGACACGCCAGATAAGATTCCCTTCTTATTTGATTTGGTTGTTCTGGAATTGGCAGCCTGGAAGAGAATAACCGCCGAGTCGCGTCCAATGTATATTGTGCAGTACCATAAAAGCCGATTTTAATGGAGCTCTTGATAAAACCGACAGGGAGGCAAATAGACCAGTTTCCACTTGGCATTTGAACACATACAATACAACAGTCATCACCAACTTCACTTTGACTTCTGCACGCTTTTGCTGGTTAAAAATCTTAATGTCGTTCAACGCATAATAGCTTTGTGCCACTTTTCACGAAAGCTACATTCTCGGTCGTTACTCGTTACTGACATCTTATGATCTAACGCAGGGAATCGATCGATATCTAGCAAGATATGGGGGCTTACAATTACCCTTGCGCCTAAACGCCTACCCATTCTGTCCGTCTGAAATCCGAAGATGCACGTCCTACATGGTCTGCTTCTAGCCACCAGTAAAAGACTTCGTGAGCCTAGCGACTCGCGATCTTCCCTTTTGACGAACGGCAGTATTGTCTTTATACGCTGACACGGCGAATTTGAAGCTTTTCCGTTGGGTCTTTCGAATTGTTCGAACAAAGTCCTGACCATACCCATGCCATCAATCGTGCAGTTCGCATTCAATTGCTTGTGTCAACAATGTTTGAAATAGAGCTGCAGAAAGAAGTGCCTTTACCCAATCCTCCTAGGCACTTACGATTCATCCATTAACATAGCCTGGTATCTTCTCTCTTCATCCTGTTGTCTTTTCTGTTCATCCTTCTTGGCGTTTTCGGTATTATCCGCCATAGTCTGCTTCATTTCGTCCGCGTCCTCTGCACCGAGCACCTCTTTGACAACATCTATAATTGCCCACTGATCATTCTCATCTGGAAACCTCAACTCCAACTCTTCGATTATGATATTCAGATTCTCCATTGATGTTGGTCGGTGATTAATTATCATAAGGATTTCAGCTTTGGTCAAGTCGAAAGAACGAAGTCGTTCAAGGAGGATCTTGATTGTATCAGGTTTATATGGACAAGGCTTTTGTGCGAGAGGCGATGGAGCTTCTTCGAAGTATTGCATTAACTAAAAGAGATCAGTGTTGATTCAAATACTTCTCATGGGATAGATATTTACCTCCTTCATAACATTGTCAAGATTTCCTGGTCTTCTTCCTCCTGTACGGTGTTTATTTTGAATATCTTTTAAATGTGTATAGACCTCAAAATTGGTCAACGTAGCTGATTGCGCCTCTAAGATCTTCATGACTGTATAATGTCCCGAGAGTTCTGGTGTGTTGTAATGAAACACGTACGTTACTTCCAAGACGTTGTATTGTGGCACTTTCTGTGGTTGTAATGGGCGTTGATTGTGGTTAATTGTGGTTCACACATCTTCAGCCTCGAGGAGAAATAATTTGCCCAATCTCACATATTTCATGCACAACATCTTAAGCGAGTTCAGCCTCGTGGCGGGGTAAGAGCTTAACTTTATTAGGTTAAAGCACGTCACCAGATCTTACCAAATGAATCATTTTTTTCTTTCCCTATGTGTGTGCATAGTTTTTTCTCCCTGATGCAATTCATATCAATTGGTATCCTAACCGGAAAGTCTTTGAATTGATTTGCAAAAGATTATCTTGGAAAACGAAAAGACTTTATTTATTAGCATTTTGCTATAAATTATTCACCCAATTATCTCCTTACTTTACAATTTTGTGCGATCCAATTCTCTCTTCTTTATTTCAAAGCCCTTACTTAGTCCAGGTTAGACTTGCCCCAGATTGACACGGCTCACGGCTACAAAAAACGAAACCACCCCTCAAAACACATAATCCCGCAATTCACTCAAACCTTCTAATCAACCATCATTTTCATCAATATCAATCCACCATTTCAGAATTAACTCGAGACTCTCCCCTTATATCAGAAGATATGGTTCGCAATCTTGTCGTTCTTGGGGGAAACTCCCATCCTCAAATAACAGAGATGATCTGTAATACGCTTGGTGTTCCACCCTGCAACAGAATTCTTAAGAAATTTTCTGTCGGTGAGAGTCGTCTCGAAATTCAAGATTCAGTACGAGGCAAAGATGTTTATATCATTCAGTCGGGTGGAGGAAAAGCCAATGATCACTTCGTGGATCTTTGCATTATGATCTCAGCATGCAAAACTGGATCTGCCAAGCGTGTCACTGCCGTTCTCCCTTTGTTTCCTTATTCGCGACAACCGGATCTACCATACAACAAGATTGGCGCACCACTTGCAAAAGGCCCTGCCAACGTCAAGGGTAACTTTACTTTCGAGAGCCGACCAGCAACACCTGGTCCTTCCACACCCCAAACACCCGGTATCACCAATGGCGCAAACGGCGCAAACGGCATGGACAAATTGCAAAAGAAGCTCGGCAAAGCATCTCTCGAACAGATCAACACTCAAATGTCAAACGGAATCACACCTAGACGCCAAGATACTTCGGATTCTATGGCATCTATTACCAATGGACGCTTGGGTGAAGGGTCAGCAACTTCCGTGACAGCCCCACCTTTCACCACCCATGATTACGAAAACCCTGGACAAATCAATGGCCAGGTCAAGAGTCTCTTCCAAGGCAAGCCAGGATACAAGCAATGGGTAGCACAAGCTGGTACGCTCGTGGCAGATCTTTTGACTTGCTCCGGTGCAGATCAGGTAATCACTATGGATCTCCACGATCCTCAATACCAAGGATTTTTTGACATCCCAGTGGACAATCTGTATGGCAAGCCGCTCTTGAAGAGGTACATTCAACAAAATATCCCCAATTTTCAGGATGCAATTGTCGTAAGTCCTGATGCTGGTGGAGCAAAGAGAGCAACTGCAATTGCCGATGGGCTTAACATGGAGTTTGCATTGATTCATAAGGTAATGGTTTCCCCGACTGTACTCCCTGCGCACACTCATATTCATTAGGAACGTCGACCTACCCGAATTACCGATCGCCAAAATGCCACAATGATGCTGGTTGGCAATGTTCGTGATAAAGTTGCTATACTCGTCGACGATCTGGCCGATACCTCGAACACAATCACAAGAGCTGCCAAATTACTCAAGAAAGAGGGTGCCACTTACGTTTACGCATTGGTGACACACGGAGTTTTCAGTGGGGATGCGATTGAGCGCATCAATGCATCTGCGCTGGACAAAATCATCGTCACGAACAGCGTTCCACAAGATGAACATCGACGTCTCTGCCCGAAGTTAGAGGTCTTGGAAGTTGGTTCGGTCTTCGCCGAGGCAATTCGTCGTGTACACCATGGAGAGAGTATTTCTGTATTGTTTCAATATGATTAGACTGGAGCTTGGCTATTTTCCGTTAGGGGTTATTGCATTCTGGAGTTTAGGCATATCGGACGGGAGTACATTGGTAGAGCACTCACTTGGCGCATTGCAAACCATGGCTCACATACAATTGCTATACCCGTAAACCGCACTGCGGACTATCAAAATTTTCCATTTTTGTTGCATATGGCATGGAAAAAATTAGATATATACACACACTCGATCTTTGGTAGATTTCCATTGAACGTCTTGACGAACCAAGTGCTGGGTTAGGCGTCTAGAGTTGCATATACAAATTCATAGAACAGAACATAGAGATGGATAGATGGGAATGTAATCCTAAATAACTTTTTGTTAATTTGGCGTACTACGGATGGAATCTATATGTTGTTCAATCAGGTCTTGGGGCAATAACCATTTGTCGATGCGCCAGGTCAAGGAGTCACTTACTCTTGACACTGTTTATTGGTTATGGAAATCGAGGCTAGATATCATAAAAAAAGGAGGGTTTATATCACTGTATGCTAAGTACCTTTTTAGTATTGTCGTCTTCATTCTTCAAGAGCGAGTTCGAAAGATTTCTTTGGCGGGGCGGGGAATTCAGATGGATGATGATATATGTTATATTGTACAGCGAGAGAAGTTAGCATGAGAAAACTTACTGTAGGTAGAGCAGCAGAGTAGCCTTGGGCATGGCATGGCAAAGGAGTGGGAGCGAGCATGGCGTTTTTCTATCTTGATGTACTGAGTTTGTATGTTAATGTTAGAATTCTGTTAATTTCGAAAAAAAAATATTGGAAAAATGAGAAAATGAAAAAGATTGCTTGGTCTGTACTGTATGAATTGGGTGCGTTGTGTGGATTATGTTATGTAGATGATCGTGTGGAGTTGGTTCAAGCTGGTATGATGTGATGGGATGTGATGTGATTCTTGTGATATCGAAGTAGGTAGGTACTGTGGTTTTTTCATGGATTGGAAGGGTTCTGTGTGGGCCCTGTGGGGTTGCAAACGCCAGAAGACTCTTTCTCCTTTTACACCAAAAACATGCATTGGAATGGATTGTTCATATACATCGAGACACACGAGTTGGTTTATTTTACAGGTTACAGCTCCGATGACAATCATACGAGCATCACAATATCCTCACAAATATGCTATATCCACGATTCACGATTTTACTCCTGCACATTGATGGCTACCTCCTTTACTTTCCTTCGACACCCATTTTCCGCTAACTAACTCCTCAATGAAACGAATATATTGGGGGGCAGGGAAGAATAGGAGTATTGTGATGGGATGGGATGGGTGAGACGGGTTATGACACATTTGTGTTGGTTTACTATAATATGGGATCTGGTGGGTTGGCTAACTCATGATGGTACTGCCCATGGTAGGCGAGGCTCAAGTTAAGGATGTTGTAGGAAGATTTAAGATTAGAGGAGCGTGTATATGTATCTTGGACTTGAAATAATAAGTTAATAGGGACAAATTTGTTCCTTGTGGTTGCTGCACCTGCATCTGTTAGTCTTACTTGGTAGAGTAGTTGTTATCACTGTATAGGCAAGAGGTAGTTGGTGTTGAGGATGAGTCGAATTGTGAGTACAAAGTTTATTCTTAATTTTTAATCTTTGTGAATATTCGATGGGTAATGGAAGGTCAGGGGTAATGCTATATTCAGGATTTTAACAAGGTGTCCATACATATATTTAGATATGTTATAATAGGACTCGGGCTGGATATTTAACACATATGTATGAGTAGAAGCAGAATTTTATAAAGTATTCATATGATTTGAGATAATTTTGTAGTTAAGGTGTCATATATGAGTATTTTGGTTGGAGACTTGAATCATATACTCTAGATCCAACCAAACCAATGTTCTCTCTGATAGAAATATCTTTTTAACTATATCAAATTCCTATAAGTTTGCTAAAATATTGATGAAGTTGAAAACTGCCAAAATCATAAGATTTATTTGAGGTGAACTTACTCCTTTTGCGTATGCGTCATTAATGACTAGCTCGGGTATGAATCTCAATTTATCAAGGTGATTGATGATTCATGAACTGAAAGATCTTGATGCTTTACATGTTCGTTTTATAAGCGGTTAGATACATCCTCTTACCCTCAATGAACTCAAGCACATACACCACATTAGAAAATACTTCAAGCACACATCACACGAAAATATCCTCACTCAACCAAGAAAAAATGTCGGAGCCACAATTCCATCTCTTTCCACTCCTCCTAGTTGAGCTCTAGAGCTAAATTTTTGCTCGCGCCATGAACCATCTCGCATCTCGAGATATACACGTGTGGATCGAACATGAGGGGGTACATTATCAGATCCTCAGACAATATAGAAGTTGTAAATAAATACCCACGCCCATCTGACTATCCTCGCCGCGATTTCCTCATCCCGCCTCTTCTGCACACCAATCATGTAGCTCGCAGTGTCGCACTCAAAGTATATACTCTTGAACTTTTTGGGTATCTCAAGAAGAAGATATATATTTCTCCCAGGGGTAGGGTTATTGTGTACGGCAAGACCAATTACAATCATGACAAGAACGACCGATATTATATGTTGAACTTGTTTATTGGAGCTGCCAGAATATAGTACGTGAGACCGGTCGATGTCGAAGGGTTTACAAGGGCGAGGCAGACATTAGGATTGAGAATTTATCATAAGGAACAGGACAGTACGGATTTGGAATTGGTCGATCCAAGCAGGATTATGAAATGGGGTGGTGTGTTGAGATAGGAGCTCATGTTTTGTAAAGGTTCAGTGATTCGTTCGTGTATGTATGTCCAACCTATCGATAGCAGTGAACGATCAGTTAAATCAAGCAAGTACTTAGTTTTAAATGATTCAGTTTCGAGTTATTCGAGGATTCGGCAGTTGTGTTGCATATGTATACCTCTAGAAGACTAGAACTTCTGGTCGAGTATTTGTTTCAACAAAGGTTGCAAAAGTGCCACTTCAGCAAATGATGATTATCACCAAATTCATTGTATTGCTTTCTTGGTCATTACTTATTCATTCACTTCTAGAAGGAATACACATCGTCTCAGATATGTAACAAAACTTGTTAAAATCTAAAGACCTGTCGTCTGAAATTGCCTAAAGTGGGACTAACTTACCACATAACCACCGTCATGCAGTTGCAACGTGAGACTAGAACTTTTTAGAGGACCAGTCGCGCGGTCCAGCTAGTGAACTTGTGAGACATCGAATGAAGAGTGGCCTGAAGGGCGAATGTATAAGCAATTAGACGAAACCAGGTCAAAATGGGGCCTGGAAGCCAGAAATTCCACGCACTAGCACGATCTAATTTCAGGTAGACTGATATATCTGTATTTCAGCAAACTTGGAGCTGAAGATATTTGATCGTTTTCGCCAGGCGGGAAAAAGCCAGATCAGTATACTATTACCAGCATAACGTGACAGCCTCCATTTGACAACCAACAACAGCATGATGTCACTTGATCTGTCTGTCTGTCTGTCTGTCTGTGTCGAGACGTTATGTAATCGTGACCTATGTCTGCTGGCTGCGTATAAACAAAACATGTCTAGCTCATCAAATTTATATGGTTCAGGTAATACAGTACCGAATCTCGAAATGGTGACTCCTCTATCTCAGATACACAGCAAAACTCCTCGTTTCTCACTTGGGAAACGAGACCACCACAACAATTCCACTTCACAACGCACTGGTGAATAAATCTCTGGACACTGTCAAAACTTTGACATAATATCTGCAGGATCATCACTCTATTTTACACATCTCGGCCCAACATGAAACGCGAGGCTGTGATGCACAGACCATATTTACATACGGCGGTTATCTAGCCTTCCCTCATGAAACAAACCACTCCTCCTCCTACATCAGATTCGTCTCATATTCTCTCACCAAAAAAAATGAAGCCACTTACCTAGGTATATGAATGGATGAATGTTCCCCGTTCAATCATTCAATTCATCCAAAATCGACAACCTCATCTCAACTTTTACTCCAACTAGAAGTTTCCCAACTTTCCTTCAAAATGGACCATAGACCACGCCATGGAGAAGAACTCCCATGGGCCAAACCCCTCAGCATTGATCTCCTGCACAAAGTTCTCAAAGTAACTTTCCTACACCCCTTCGTCGCATGGATGATTCCCCTCTGTATGCGTGCGCAAGCTATGCCCTGGCATCACCAAGCTATTCAATACGCAATCGCCTATGCATCACTGCTCACCATGCTCTTTTTCCTCTCCATTCTCAATCGGCAGATAGCATACTCCAAATCTAGAAAGGTGGACTTATCCGAAGAGGTTATAGTGATTACCGGTGGCGCAAGCGGATTGGGATTATTGGTCGCGGAAGTATATGGCATGAGAGGCGCAACGGTAGCAGTGTTAGACATACGAGATTTAGAGAGTGGAGAAGCTCGGGGTGTGAGTTATTACAAATGCGACGTTGGGAACCGGGAAGAAGTTGCTCGAGTTGCTGTAGAAATCGAACGAGATGTATGTTTTCTTCCCTCTTTATTTTGCATTCAAGACTAGTATACTAATCCGTACAAATAGCTTGGAAGCCCTACAATCCTCATCAACAACGCAGCGGTCGTAAACGGGAAAAGCCTCCTCGATCTCTCTATCGATGAAATCGAACACAATTTCAGAGTGAACCTTTTGGGTAGCTTCTACACCCTCAAAGCCTTCCTCCCAGGCATCATTCGTACCGGTCACGGAACCATCGTGACCATGTCCAGCGTCCTGGGACACCTAGGGGCCGCCCAACTCAGCGACTATAGCGCATCAAAGGCAGCATTAACCGCACTCCACCACTCTCTAACCGCCGAACTCAAAGCTCACCCCAATATCAAAACCGTGCTCGTTGAGCCCGGACAATTAAGCACCCCGTTATTTTCCGGAACCGTGACGCCGAATAGTTTCTTCGCGCCGGTGTTAGAGCCAGTTGATGTAGCGAGGGAGATTATCGCAACGATCGATAAGGGGAGTAGTGCGGTGTTGGCGATGCCGTTGTATGCAAGGTGGGTGGGGTGGATGGGAGTGTTGCCTGTGGGGTTGCAGGCGATGGCGAGGAAGGTTAGTGGGATTGATGGGGCGATGAAGACATTTGAGGGAAGGAGGAACGGGAGTGAGAAGAAGAAAATCTTGATATAGTCGGAAGAGGGTTTGGTGCTGGCACCGAACCTGGTTTGATGGACATGTGAAATTTAATATAGATGGGATGGAAATCTTGTGATGGGACAATGTATAATGATACCTAGAAAGTCACTATAACCCTGTGTTCTTACCGAGTACAATACATGATTAGGCGAATATCAAATTAACCAAATACACACCCCTTATTCTAAATCACCTATTCTCAAACATTACTTACCATCATCGACAGCGTAAACAAGCATATCATCTCATCTCTAAACCCAAAGGCTTTCGGGAACGGAGGAATGAATATCAGTATGTATGTACATATATTAAACAATACTCGCCATCTCGCCATCTCGTCATCCATACATCCATACATCCATATTGCAGGCACAAGTCACGGTATTGAAAAAAAATACAGTGTCAAAACTTCGATATAGGAAATTAGGAATGGTGAAGACGTGAAAGGATGGAACAGATGTATTAAAGTAACTTGGTATAGCATAGCATAGCATAGCCTAAAACCTAAGGAGAAGGAATCCTTGATTCAAAAAAAATAGCTACAGTACCTACCATAATGATCCAATCCCACCCCATCTACTCATACATATCGACAAATCATGATCATGCACCGATACTGTATATACATAGGAATGATAGGATTTAGGATTCGACAATCAACAGGTCGTTATCCATCACATATACCGTGTCGAAGACACATACTCGATTAGCCGGCCAGTCATGGACAATGATAATGATATCCCGAGTATGTTCTAATAGTTACTAGTATAGTTGTTTAAATTTTGGTGGTATTCGACACTTATCAGTGTCAGTGTCAGTGTCAGTGTCACTACTCGTAACATAATCTGGAATCCCATCTCATCCCATCCCATCTCAACTCATCTCAACTGAACTTGAGAAGTGTAAACTCGCGGCCTAACAACTATCTATCAACACCGATCAAAAGACAAATCAGATACCCAACACTCCCTCCCTTCCGCTCCCCTCACAACTCACAATCTCACAATTCATCAGCCAAGCATGCAAAAATCTGCATCACAAAATAAACCCCACGATCCAATCTCGATCAAGTGTTTCCGAAATCCGACGATGCAAAATAAAATACTATATGAGACAAGCATTTGCGACGAACCAGCATCGATATCATATGATAACATCCTTCATGCTACTACTCGAGTATATCAACAGGCTACAGCGATACAGCACTAGCTATATACTCAGCAGCACGACTTTCATTTACTGTATTGATTGTATGTATGTATGTATGTATGACCCTACCTAGCTGTCAGACCCAAAAATACTCTCGACTCCGGAGTAGAATCGCAATAAATTAATTATACTCGAGAAAATAGGTACCGGTAGAGAAAAAGAGTTATTGTGCGAAGATTGATAATGTCGAAGAATAGTTGTACAGTACATAGAATCGCCTAGCGATAAAGAGGGGGTTTACCAGTATATATTAACCGTCAAATATTTGTTCCATGGTATATTGTATATTCGAGTAAATAACGAATAGGGTTAAGGAACAATGGAATAAGGTATCTCCATCCTTCAACTTCATGCGAGGATTTCCTTGAACCATATTATTCCTGGACGAATCCAACCTGTCCTGGCAAACGCACGTTCCGCTTGTGATACCCGAGTATCTAATGACTTGACTTGGAGAATCCGGGATTATCTAAAATCCTCGCATAATCCCAGCTGAGTGCAGTTCGTCGGCGAGGTTGACTTGACGAATGAGAATCCCTAGGGATTCGGAATGCTAGTTCGAGGAACCGAGATGTTTAATCATATACTCGGTGTTACGAGTAAGTAGATGTATACGTACAATATAAGAGATTCTGTACCGGAGTAATTATTTAAAAAGATTGTCAATTCAGTATTATTTTACTCGAGTAGTAAACTACTTATGAGTAGTAGTATTATATCGGTATTTACTCGTACAGTAATAACAACCATTATATCAATACAGTATATTCTATCCTACGTTTTATAATTCCGCTCCGGAGTCCTTAACATCGAAGAGTGTCTAGTTTGGTTTTGATTTTGGGATTGGTTGATAACGGCAGCATTTAACCGGGCACATCGGCGAGCTGATGGGGCGGGGTAAATTTAGGCTGATCTGGTCTGGTCTGCAGACGATTTTCGCTACTCCGTACATCAACATATTTCAGCCTTCCTTCGATTCGTTCAATTCCAGAAAATATTTTGATGCAATTGCAAGACTGTACTGGACTGGACTGGAAGCTCCTTTGAGATAAGTTTCGAAATACTGGTGCGTATTAATACTGTACTTTTGTTTTTGTGCAAGGGTTCTCTCATCTTCCATTTACGCGATATGCATAGGTATGTATACTACTGCACATAGACGAATAATCAAACCCTTTCTTTCCATACTTTCCATACTTTCCCATGAACCGGGATCTCCCCTACGTTTGCATTCATCTGTGATGGATATGCCCAAGCACTTAACAGTCTAGGTAAGCTACTCAGACAGTCTAGAAATAAGTAGACATTCCTTCACGATAAATAGATGCTCCGTGAATCCAACAAAAGCAACTGGGTGGTTTGCGGTGAGATAGTAATTTAGACGTTTTGAATATAATACGAGTAAAAGAGAAATGGTTTATCTGAGGAGTGCGTGATATTCAACTGTCAGTGTGACTGTGTGATAGCCTTGATTGATATTGATCAAGTCTAAATATGAAAATCTGCACACATATATATTACTTCGATGTACTCGAGTAATTATGTTGGAATAGACATATTTTTCGAGATCTATACCACTCGCAATCTTCCATTCCCCGAGGAGATATTGATAGACTACTGTATCAATAATACCAGTGTTGAAAGAACCGGAGGGGATGCAATTTTTATGTTTTGGTCTCTTGCACACTGGAGCTAAGTGTATTGTACTCGAGTATGCCACTGTATCTTTGCTCCAATATCATTAATTTGAAAACCGTACCATTATGATCAACCCTTTCAGGACACTCTGATAAGTGCTGGCAACAAGTTTCAACCGAGAAATAACACAATGGCATATTTGATAGCCCCCAGGAGTTTGATAAATGGCTAGGCAATTGCAAAGCATGGCTTTGCTCCTTTGAACTCTCAAATGTAATCCAAAACAAAAGCTAATCTTCACAGGCATGACGGTTCACCTTGGTCCAATCTGCACATTTTTCAAATTTGCACGGGAAACTGTGCGGGGAATGGTGCTCCTTGTTCCAATGGGAAGATCGTTCCCACAAGCTGAGATCTACATTGCTCAGCTTGACCATGAATTATATCCACTACCGACTTCAAAGTCCTCGATATATATACTCTCATAGAGCCTAATAGAATATTGCGAGCCCGACGAGCTATTTACTTCTCAAAACTCATTCGGCATCTCATTCTAACGATTCTGCCATCTAGCGATTGGGAAAACCCCCAGGGCGTTAGGTTAGGGATTGCTGAGCACAAAGCGCTTGTGATGTCTTTGATTCTAAAGGAAGAGTTACTAAACTTCTATCCTGAATAAGGTTGGGACTCACGCCCATTCATTTGTAAGAAACATAATATATTGTAGGTCCGTACTTGATAGCGAATGGTGGAAACATTGTGGCAAACAGAGTTCGGCTTGCTGTTTGGAAGCAACCTGTGGAGGAGGCCAAGGCAGTAGTCATGTTAATGCTGACTCTCGTTGCATGGAAACTGCAATCAATACCAATTGATATAGCAAAATACGGTATGATGTGTAAATACTGTACAGTACTTGTGATTGATGCTCGCAAAATAGGAAAAGCAGCACTTTTAATCCCAATCTCGTCACCAAAATGGAGAATCTAAGCTATTAGGCAATACTTCCTTCCGTATAAGGAACGACATCATCAGTAATAAAGCTCTGAATGTATCCCGTACTTTCAATGACAACTGTTTTTGGGCATCGTATCTCCTATGCACAATTGTTGATACCGCCATAAGGATGTCGACCCATTTATCTTCATAAAGTGAGTCTTGTGAAGCCCAATCTTAATAAAGTTTCTTAGGCTCGAGTCGATGAAAGGTATGAGTAATGGTCGTCGAGTGGTCGATCGTATTCATGTTTCGGAGGTTGCGGGAGTCCTCTCAATGCTTCCGGATCGCTCATTTGGAAAAGTAGCCCATATCTATTATTGGCAGACTTCAAAGCTATTTGAATCGGATGTTCTTCTCGATTGAGATACTGTGTAACCTCAATGGTTCGTCGTCTCCAATCTTTCAAGAACTCGTTTCCACTGCGCTGGCGCTCGTTGCTCATTACAGTTGTTGTTGCTCAGCGGACGAAATGAGATTCTTGAGAGCAAATTTCCCATATTCTGATAACCCGTTCCAATCATAAATTTCTTGAATGCCGCTTGGTTCGGTGCGATCGTTCTTTTCAGTTGTATCGTCAGTTATATCGTTACCGCATTGAGTAGAGGATCGATGTCAAAGTGCGTAATTTCATACAATTCCAGAACTTGTTTTTGTCATGAACTTTGCCCAAGTTGGATAGAATGACGAAGCTACAGTACCGGTACCTTTTCACCTAGCGCTAGCTACTTTATGTTTCAAGATGCGCGTTGGTGAGTGATGGAGAATCGGAGATGGATGGATGTGCGGATAATCTCAATCTCGACGGGGGTACCAAATGAAAATCATCCCGCCTACTACGCCGCACGGGCCCCAGGCTGAGTAATAGTCACTCTTTAACAAGATCAAGATTGCTTTTGACATATACCTGAAGCCATGTTTGAACTTATTCCATGACAATGACAGAGACTTCCATATGAATCGGTTTGATCATCAATTAGGACATCTCAAAGTTGAGAGGTGATCTGTAATCATTTGATCACAGCGCCAAAAAAAGAAGAAGAACGAAGTTGTCATGTTCAAGGCAGAGGTACACCAGTAATGAATGGGTACTGTAATCCACAATATGATGGTTGATGTGAATTGATCGGCGGAGCTGGAACGGGCTGGAATAATACGATAGAGTTTACCAAGTTGTGTTGAAAGTTTGTACGACATTGTGATAATATTATTACTGTAAGGTCTGGGACGGGTTGGTTGGTTGTGGACAAGATCCTAAAGAGAAATAGGTGAAAGCCGGTTGTTGGAATTGCACCCCCCTCCACTTTTTGTTTCTAGTTAATCTTCTAAAAACTATCTACTCCGAGATTTATTATGCTTCTTGTTGGTTGGTAAATTCGATCAATCGGCCAGACTCGAAAGCCGCAAAGCCGCATATACAAAATCATGCATTTATCCTCTGTAAGTGCTTACTAGGTAGATCTGGGTCTTATTAGCCAGGTACCGCTGTATAAAAAGATAAGGAGAAGCTTTTGTTTATTTACACTTCTTCTGAAAGCTATTCAGACTTCTTCTCTATAACCATAACTCACAAATTATCACAATTCAACACTCAAATTACTTTTTCCAAACTATTGTACTGGTAGTGAAAGAGATGAAATTATATGCCTTAACCCTTAACCCTTCCCCCGGAATCCTACAATTTGTGATATTAATATTACCCCTGTAATTAAAACATCCAGCTGCATCTGCACAATACAATACTGCACATACTGCATGCATGTAACTCGAGCCATCCCTCTTACCAAACTTAAAGTAGTCAACGCTATCACTCTTTTGGGGCATTTTCTTTAATTACCCTTTCAAGATAATAATTTATGAGCTCTGAGTGGCTGATAGAATAATCTGGGTCCTGCATAAGCAACGAAATGTACTCGAGTATATACATTCACATTCACATCTGGCTGCTGCTTCTTTTGCATTTGGCCTTATTACAGTTCAAAGCACCACCAAAGCATACACACGCACACACACTCATTATTTGCTTTTCTCATTCGCACCTTCCCACCTTATTTTACCTTACCTTACCTTATCTTACTGCCATTCCTTTCCTTTCCTTTCCTTCCTTTGAATGCCTGCTTGGCCAGAAGCAATACCACATCGGCGAATACCTACTTTTCTTATTTGAGAAGTGATTTGATCGAAAAGCCCAACCCCCCTCCCCACCCATCACGTTATTGGATGGTCTTTTGTTGATCGAGAGCCTGTCGCAGACCTACTTCAACACTCCCAATTGATTTGCAATGTTCACTTAATTCACCCTTCATGCATCGAAAATCAGGAAAACGAAGAAGAAGCTGAATGCTAGCCAGCTATGAAGGAGGCGAAAATCCGGGCAAACGACAAATTAATAATGGAGGTCGAGGCTCAGACCCAAGCCTCGCGTCCACCTGTAGTTCGTTCACCTGAGAGTTTGCGTCAACGTCAACGAGATCGATTGTCCCCTAGAGGCCGTTTTGCGACACCTAATACTATACCTACAACCATTACAGAGATCGAAAGGCACCATAATAATATCGTACCATCATTGTCAGCCCCAAAATCGAGGGTCACTGGAAAGAGAAGCCCGAACCAACTGAAGAAGCCGATGCAGGAGAGTTCGCGCAATGAAAATAATGTTTACCGTCTGGCTAAGAGAGAGGTAGAAGATGGGAAAGGCGGCATCACTCCAGACGGAGGTTCTGCTGGTAGGGAAGGTAGACAATTTACCGTTGCCAAGGTTGGAAATGGTGGAAAGATATACTTACGGTAAGACAAAGTGATGCTGGTTGATGATATAGTGCTCGTTACCACCACAACAAATTAAATAGTACACAGTAAGCAAGCAGTACTGACAAACGAAACAGCCCGTCGATACGCCCGGCAAACCAACGATATCCTCAACCATCGTTCGCCTTTCCAACAACACCGCCAGATACTGCTGGACCTGATGCTGCAGCGTTTCGTAGAGAGGAGGAAGATTTGAGTCACCGTGGTAGTCTTTGGTCCCCGTCGAAGTCGCCATCGAGCCTGACGCAGCGAATTCATGGCGCAGCCGGAATCAAAACAGGACGCGGAAGAGCACAATCGTACTCGACTGTTGACGATCAACACGCCCCAGTGACCGACAAGGACGTTGGAGCTTTTAAAGTTATCATCGAGAGGCCGGGGACTGGTACTGCTGCCCAAAAGCTTGACTTTTTTCGAGGTACTCCTGCTCTAGACGTTAATATTCCGTCATACAAGTTGGGAAAACCACGATTCAGCATGCTCGGCACCCCTTTTCTTGGAGGTTCTTCCAATACAACAAATAATGATGATGTGCGCTCTAGTGTATTTTCAAGCAGAGAAACGTCACAAATGGATCCGGCTTCCCAATGCCATACGCGAAATCTTTCTCGGCGCCATTCTGATGCATCTCCACAGTCTCGTGCTGTCAATGGCCTACCAAGTCCCAATGACCAATCGCGCCCAATACCATCGCCAAGAATTGCTACGTCGTCTAGAGCCATTGAACCTGAGATGTTCGATGCTCTCACTTTCAAGCCGGCTTGCGATCACCCATCTATTGTCCGCTATGGCGAAAGCGGAGGTATTAGAGCGGCGACTCCAGCTCGTCTTGTTGCAGAAATCACGTCTCCCACTATCGTCGATTATGACCTTCTGTCGGACTTCTTTCTTACATTTCGATCATTTCTGGAGACCACGGACCTGTTGCTCATGCTCATCGCCAGACTACAATGGGCAGTTGCAAGGAAAGATGAGATTGGTACGGTGGTCAGGGTTAGAACTTTCGTTGCAATCCGTCATTGGGTCTTGAATTACTTTTTGGATGATTATGTCATTGACTACGAGTTGAGAGTGCTGTTTTGTGAACAGCTCAATGCATTTGCAAAAACACTTCTGGAAGGCGAGATGCACTCCAAGGTTCCTTTGAAGATAATAGAGGAGCTAAAGAAGTGTTGGCGGAGAGTATGTGCATTATATTGGGATGGCCCTGACTTCGACCCAGATCTTGGGGTTGAGGTTCCCATTGCTGCTGGAGGAGTCGCTGGTTCTCGAGATCCTACTTTGGACCCAGCGTTTTGGGAAACCCGCCCAGCGGGCCCTCCACGTCTTGATGGGATTATCGAGCCCGACTTCATAGAGAATGACACTTCAATGGATGAAGGTCGAAACTTTTTCGCTGATGTCTCTCGCGCAGGTCACATTGACTATCCCGTAGCCTATAATCCCACCCCTCCGAATATCAGGAAAGACGACAACGATGATATGGAACGACCTCTATCTCCCACGAGTATAGCGAGTGAAGACTTCGTATCATGCTCATTTCCCAGTCGAACGAGAGGTGGCGGGACAATAAATACCCTAGGGGTGCATCCAGTCACTACCAGCTCTATATACGATCCTGCTCCCCCTATTGCAACCACTCCTAAAACCCTTACTGGCAAACGGGTCCGCCCCTCGCATTCACACAAGCGCAGTGGAAGCTTCTCTGACTCATTGCGAGATCGCCAGGCACAAACCGAACCTGCACTACCTGCACCACCTGTACAAAAGGTTATCTACAAGAGCACGGAGCTATTTCTTGCTTTGCCTTATGCTGGAAGTTTAGTGAGAGGTAATCTTTTCCCTCCCGGACAAGCTTTTGTCGATGTTCTCGCCCCAAGCACTCCAGCAGAATTCGGTCGAGAAACTACCTTGTTCCCTAGACCACCTCCTAATCACAAAGGTCCCTCGGCGATGTCAGGACCTGGAATGAAAAGACTTTTAGGCAGCGTACGTCGTGCATTAAGTACCAGAGCAGGTCACAGCCCTACCGGCTCTCCAACCCAAGGCAGTTTCCCCAACATTCCCCCTTTAGGTGTTCGGGGAGCAACCATAAATCGACTTCCTGGTACCGCTATAGTCCCACAAGCTCGAAGGCACGACTCAATTCGTGGACCAATGAGGATTGACCTTCTTGGTGCTGAAGTTGCCGAAGATTTCAAGAAGGCGGTTCGAGAGGAAGAGGAAGCTGATGAGGCCCGTAAATCTCGTATAGTTGACCAACAGTCACCACCAAGAAGTAGCCATCGCGAATCTGCCATCCACTACTCGACTATGTGCCCTGATGTAACCTTAGAGAACTCGAGTCCTATAACTTACAGGTCACCCAAGAGCGAAGTCACAAATGGAAGTAAGAGTATTGTAATTGTTAATGATGGCATGGCGTTGCCATTGCCTATGATGACCGGCGCATTGGCTGTGAGTCCATCTGTCGGCTCTTTCGCCGATGCTTTCTTACACCCATCACATGGACCTACACCACCAACAACGCCGCCAGGCATTCCCTTCGCAGGAATTCCAAGACGATCATCACATATATTAGGACATACTGTGAATCGTAGCTTATCATTAGAAGGTCTCCCTTCACTGGTTGGTGACTCACGGCTCTCACGAGAATATGACCACCCTCTAGGACCCCTACCACTTCCAACGCATTCAATGAGACTTCACAGTCAGACTTATCGTGTCAGAAAATCCGTATCACTACGTCGTTATGCATCCTTCCATAGTGGTTTCACTCAGCATCACAGGAGTGAACGAAGCTTCGATGCCACTACATTTACGGAAGAACGATCAATTGCGGAGAGCTTTTCCCGGCATACGCCAATTCCGCTGCCACTTCGAGTACTCCGAAGACGACCAGGTGGAGATTTGAGGGCTGTGGGTAACGTTGGAGATCTCAATAGTGCTGTCCCTCGACCAATGTCAACTGGCTCCATGACGACGTATTCCGATTCTGTACGAAGCTCATACCTTCTTGGTAGTGGGGATAATAGCCGATACGTTGATGTAGTTAATAGTGATTATGATGACACTCAAGCCCATGTCGAGACATTCTCGCTAGGAGCACTAGCTGAGGTTGCACCCAAAGCCCGCATCTCTCTCTTCGACACCCGTTCATCTCAACCTGTCATGCGCCCGTCGTTCGAGAAAGAAGCACAGATGCTTGCTCGCATTCCAGATGACATTGATGACGATGGCGGGGTGGAGTCTGCACTTTTGAAACTCGAAGGAAAATTTGAACAAAGACGCTCCGAAACCTCGGGCGGTGAATTATCTCGGAGGTTCGACAATGAGGGAAATACCAATAGTTTTGGTGGCAGCCCATACGATGTTAGTACACTCACCTTGGATGACGACGAGGAAGAAAGGCGTAGACACCGACAACGAAAGGTCGTGGATTCGAGCATTTTCAATCCGACGCCAGTTACATATCAGCCACAGCAAGCTTCAACCAGTGCAGAGCGTAGACCTGCTGCATACCAACCAACGGGCATGCCAAGGAAGTCGTCAGTACCAAGATCAAGTGGACTTACAGATTCATTTATTGAAGCTTCTTTCCTGGATGATGCATTTAGCGAGGGTGAGAGTTATCAGAGGCACACACGCAATTGGTCAGAACGCTCAATTCTTGAAGATCCTAGTGAAGGGCACCAAAGGACTATGGACAACACTCCACATTCTTCTCACACCGGATCTTTCGATTTTGTAATCGAAACGGAAAGCTTGCGAAGATTGCGTCCTGGCGCAACGGAACCTGTTCGCAAGAGTGGCAATCATTCATTCCTCAACATTGACAGCGATCTTTCTTCCGAAATGTCTTTTATATCGAAAGCTGACTCTACCGAGGATATGTCGAACATGGCTGCACAAACGTTTTTTCCTCTAGGACCGGGACCAGTGATGAAGGAAGTTCCTCACCCATCCAAGTCAGCACGTCATCCTCCTTCACCTCCGATAACTATGGTGCAAGCATTGAATATGTCTCCACAAACTACGAACATCCCTCAGGTCCATGATTACCAACTTGAACAGGGACACCGGTTACCGCCCACTCCAGACATCACACCCACTACTGCCCTTGCTTCAAATGGATTCGGCAGAGATGTCTTGCGATCGGATGGTATTAGTGAAGCTTCTCGTAAAACTTCTGTCCATCTGCCCTTCATTCTTGCATTCGATTCGCGAGTCCTTGCTCAACAGTTTACTCTCATTGAAAAGGATGCCTTGAATGAAATTGATTGGAAGGATCTTATCGAAATGCGCTGGAAAGATGCTGCTACAGATACCCGATCTTGGGTTGAGTTCCTGCGCTCCTCGGAACCTCGAGGAGTAGAGGTTGTGATCGCACGGTTCAATATAATGGTTAAATGGGCTGTATCTGAAATCGTCCTAACTGGCGATCTAGAAGAACGAGTTCGATGCATCATCAAGTACATCCACATTGCCGTTCACTGTCGTAAGTATCGAAACTTTGCTACCATGACACAACTCGCCGTAGCTCTGACTTCGAAGGATATCTCCCGGCTTACATCGACTTGGGCCCACATTCCGGCATCCGACATACAGTCACTCAGCGAACTGGAGGGGCTTGTAACCCCGACAAGCAATTTCCACAACTTGAGAGCTGAGATGGAAGGCTCCGGTGCAGACCAAGGCTGTATTCCGTTTGTCGGAATCTATACCCATGACCTTATCGTCAATTCTGAGCGCCCAAGCCAGTTTGCAAGTACGCCAACAACGGAACCTTTAGTGAATTTTGAGAGGTGTCGATGTGATTCAACGATCATAAAGAATCTCCTCAGGTTACTCGAGGCTAGTCAATTGTACAGATTCCTTCCGATTGAAGGCATCACCGAAAGGTGTTTGTGGATGGCAGCATTACGAGACGAAGACATCGCGAAGTATGGCAAATCAATACAGGATTGATGATTCGCTTCAATCAGCACCTCTACCGCACCTTCTTTGATATCCACGAAGACTGTAGACCAGCTCACTATGAATCAACCGTTCATGCGGACTCACCTGGTCACTCGGATGACCCAATCTACAAAACTTTCAATCAAGTTTTGAATTCATCAGTTGATGGATAAAACAACAAATTCTTTGTAATAACAAATTCAATTTTGGGGCCTTTTGTTTAAAATTTTGTAATTTGTTTCACCACAGTATTCGAACTTCATACTTCTCATTTCGAGAGCGCTTCGAAGGATTCTTTCATGTATTCTCTTCACTTTTCTTTGGTCCCAAGTCTTTACAAGCACAGCATAGCCTGCGCGTCACCACGACGGCTTAACATAATATTTTTTCATTGGTAAAGCAGTCTGGATTCGGACCTTTTTTCTACGACCACGACTGTCACGATTCATTTTTTAGTCGTTTGTTGTACTATTTCTTATTTTTGCTTACCTCCACGGAGTGCTAAGTTTCCAAGTGGCTTTGTGGTCTTGGGAAGACGGATGCATAGGTGGACGGAGATGGGGAATTTTCTCCAAAGATCTTGGTGGGACGCTGCTACAGATGGATGTGGATGGCATGTAAATGGTGGAGGGGGGAAACTTTGTATCGAAACCTGAAGAGGGGGAAAGCATATAACCTTTTGTACCGTATTGGCGGATGGACTATACCCTGTGTGGAATGGATGGATGGATGAATGTAAAAGATAGGCATATCGTATACCCTTTTGTGTGTCGGTTGTTTGCTTGTGAGATATTTGGCTGAGTGTTGGTGGTGATAGGGTGCCGGGAGTGACGGCAGTAGCTAGATGAGATATCAATGAGTGAAAGAAGAAAAGTTTCAATCTAGCAATACTTTGGTCATGTAAACCTTATTGTCATCTAATCTTGAAACTTCCAACGTGATATCCTTTGAGCCGTTACACAATATAACGTTCAATCTCTTAAAGATGATTTTCTTCTCAAGCCTAAATAAAACCATCATTTTATGTACAGTACTCGAGTATACCAAATCCAAATCCCACACATACATACTGTACCCCTCCCCTCGCACCCTCCCCCCAAATAAAAAAACCCCGTACCTTTACCTTAACAGTTACATAATCACACACCCCCCGTCACTCAACCCCCGATCACCATTCTGACCGGCTCTCCCTCCTCCAGCAGCTAAGACGGCGGTTCGACTAATGTCCTCCCATACTTCGGATATTAACTCGCCGGTTTGGGATGAACATCTGGGGGGGGGAGAGATGGTTAGAGGGGGTTAGTTTTGGGGTTGGAGTTGGAGATGGGTGAGGGAATAGGGGATGGAGGGGGAGAGGGTGAGGAGAGGAGAGAAGGGGGGAAGAGAAGAGAAGGGGAAGATGAGAGATGAGGGGAGGAGGGAAAAGAGGGAAAAGAGGGGGAAGAGAGAAAATAACGAACTCCATATATCGATCACATCTCAATTCCTGCGCAACACGATGGCCCTCTTGCGGATAGATAATGCCGTTCGGATCTTTTTCCGATCGTAGATCTCGCTTGAGAGCGAGGAGGAGGATGGGGAGTTCGTATTGAAAGGCGGCTTGGAGTTCTTTGGCCCACTATGTTTGGTTGTTTAGTTTAGTTTATATTTGGTTTCGGTTTTAGTTTTGTTGGTTCATGGTCATGGTTTCTTATGTCTTCTTATCATATTGTGACGAGGTCGATGAAGTGGATGAATGTAGATTAAAATTATACATACAAATCTCTGCGCGTTAATCAAACTCAAGCGTGATGAGACGGCATAACAGAGTACGACGACTTTGGGGGTTAAGGTTTTCCAGTCGATGGGCGAAGAGGTGTCGTAGAAATTTATTCGGTATGGGATGTTGGAGAAGCGGATGCCGAAGGTGAAGGGTTGGTGGGAGTCGAGGAGGAGGTGTGCTTGGTTGGAGGTGTCGGTGGAGGATAGGTTGGAGGGGGGTTGGCTATTGGAGGGGAGGGGATGGGTGAGTGGGGGTGGGTTGTGTGTTGTGGGTTTGGAGGGGATGGGAAGATGGATGTATATGGGGAACAGGGGGGGAAAGGGGGGAAAGTAGGAGTAGATCTTGATAGTAGAGAAAACTCACGATAAAAAGGTCGATTTACCGACACCTGGATCACCGAGAAGTAGTACGGTTGTTTCTATAGGAGGAGTTTCTAAAGGGGGTTCATTCATGGCTAGATATATAGGTATTTACCTATAGCTTCACGATGAACATGACTTGAAGGGGGGTCGAGGGGTACTTTATTATACGATAAGCGCGATAAGGAAATTATCGCACACAGAGCTTAACCTTATTGGCTCGAGAATTTGTGAGTCGATAAAAAAAACGAACAACAACGTCATTAAAGAATTCTTATAATTATTTCATGTTCATCCGGAGAGTCTGGAGAAAGGAGGTGCTTCTGATATCACAAATTTATCCACGGTCGTTTCATACAAAATACAATTGGATACCTGAAGCAGAGAAGAGTGCAGAGAAGAGGAGAAGGAACAAGATGGCAGGAGCGACTGATTATAGCGATTGGTCGCATGAGAATCTGATCAAGAGAGTTACTCATTTGGAAAATGAACTTAAAGTTAATACCAAAAGGTAATTATTCATATATCATATCCTCAATCAACAAAAACCTCAAACTGAACCAAACACCAGCGCAATCCCCGCCAACAAGAAGAACTTTAAGAAACCCCGCTGCGAACGAGATTTCGATCCCTCCAAATACAACACCCGACTCGTAGCTCTCAAACTTGCATATTTGGGAAAAAACTACAATGGATTCGAGCATCATTCCCACGTAACGCCTTTGCCTACTATTGAAGAAGAATTATGGAAAGCGTTGAATAAGGCTCGTCTTGTATTTCCGGAAGGTGTCAATCCAATGTCGCCGGGGGATGTCAATTGGGAGGGCTGCGAATACTCGAAATGTGGGAGGACGGATAAGGGAGTTAGTGCTTTTGGTCAGGTTATTGCGATCAGACTGAGGAGTAATCGACCGCTTTCTAAACCGGATGCAAAGCCCACGCAAGAAGAATCCGGAGAGGGAGAAGAGGGGGGTATGTATCACACGTACCCGAGGGAAAATGGTATAGAAGTTACATCTGCGCCGCTTTCTCCACCTGCAGCTATACCAGGGCTAAAGAGGTCGGACAGTGGAGCATTTAGCTTGTCGGATCCAGAGATACAGGAGAGTCTTGATTTTAACCATATTACTGATGAGATACCTTACCCACAAATTCTTAATCGTCTCCTTCCACCCGATATCCGTATCGTGGCCTGGTGTCCGTCACCACCCCTCGATTTCTCCGCTCGTTTTTCCTGTCGCGAACGTCGCTATCGATATTTCTTCACCCAACCTGCATTTTCCCCCGTTCCCACTCAGGTAGAACATGGCACATCAGCTAGTAAAATGAAAGATGGGTGGTTGGATATCGATGCTATGAGGGAAGCAGCAAAATCATTCGAGGGTTTGCATGATTTTAGGAATTTCTGTAAGGTGGATCCGGGGAAACAGCTTACGAACTTTGAGAGGAGGATATTTTTTGCAGATATTGAGGAGGTAGATGATTATACGAGCTCGCTGGCTTATGTGAATGGGGATTCCTTTATCGATGAATCGATTCGTTCCAAAACGGATGGCGAGAGCAACGCACCCAAAATCTACACTTTCACTCTGCATGGATCGGCATTCCTTTGGCATCAGGTTCGCCATATGGTTGCGATTTTGTTTCTCGTGGGCCAGGGCCTGGAGAAACCTTCTGTAGTCTCGGAATTGTTGAACGCAGATAAGAATCCTGGAAGACCTACTTATGAAATGGCTACCGATACTCCACTCGTCCTCTGGGATTGTATCTTTCCCCACCGCGACGATCCAACGCGAACCGATGCTCTAGACTGGCATTACATAGGCGATACACCTGGTTTCTCGGACGGTAAATACGGACCCGCGGGCTTAATGGATGATTTATGGACGGTATGGAGAGAGCGCAAAATCGACTCGATCCTCGCAGGAGAATTGATGGGAATAGTGAGTCGACAAGGAATTCCAGCGAGTGAGTTGACTGGGGGGGAAGGGGGAAGGGGCGGGAGGAGCCAGAAGGTTTTTGCGGGGAATGATAAACCAAGGATGATGGGGAAGTATATAGGGGTTATGAATAAAATCAAAATGGATACGGTGGAGGTGGTTAATGAGAGGTATGTGGCGAAGAAGGGCTTGGTGGTTGTAGAGCAGAAGAAGGGGTTTAGGAAGGTAGAGGTGAAAGGAGCACTAAATGAAAAGGGGGAGGTGGAGGTGGAGGTGGTGGAAGAAGGTGATGGAATAAAGACGGGGAGTGAGATTTAGATTCTGGATCAAAAGGAATGTCGAAAACAATGTCTATCTGGATACACAACTACACAATTCTTGAAATATATAGAATTGCCATTCAAATCATTTTTGATACAAACTTATTGTAGTGAAGTGAGTAGTGATATTAGTTAAACTTCATCACACTCTCTTAATCATTAAATTTCACACCTGTATGAAGACTTCTATATAACCACCATTCAAACCCCAACACATCACATATAATCAAATCTAACTCTTACTTTTGTTGTTCATTATTACTCGGGTAGTTTCCTTTCCAGGTCCCCCCATCCCTTGAATTCTTCCAGTGATGTGAGCAGCTCAGTGGATACATATGAAAAATCCCCGATGAACTTTCCGAGTTCTCTGTATCAATCAACTCCCTCCCGGTGAGCAGCTCTATACATACTCGAGTACCGGTAGGTAGATATTTATGAAAGTAAGTCGAAAGTCCCCGGTGAGCCTGCTTGTTTTGCTTGTTGAGATTATTCTTGCTGAAAAGTCGAGTATAGATAGAGTATAGACTCAGTTGTCTATTCCGCTATTCGGCATACATGTATCTATCTCTCTGCTATTTTATACATGCAATCCACATCTCCATCCAAAAACAAAGATTTGTTGCCCATCTCCCCGGAGCAAACCTCCTATTTGTGCATTCTCATACACAACTCTCATATACACTCGTATGTACTAAACCCTTCCATACTCTCGTACTACCGTGCTACCCCATCTTTACCTCATTACTTCCCCATTACCCCATCTTTCACCCATTACTTCACCAGCTCACAAATCACCAATCACCAATTATCAATTCTACACCCAAAGCATGCATGCATGCATGTATACATATCTCAAAACTCCAGTTTCCATCAGAGCACCAACCAATCATCAAAAAGTACACAGGAGAATCATGGTCCGGCTTTGATTTTCACCAAAATTAATCTGTTTGTTTTCCTTTTGTTGCACATCTGAAAACTGCAGGACAAGAAAGATATGGAACGGGAAAGGATAAAAATAAACGAGGTGTGAGATATTTAGGTTCTTATTTCCTATGGTAACATTACTCTTAGTACTATACTGAGCAAGCAAATACTTTGATTGGAATCTCCGTCTATCCATGTATCTCAAAGCATCATCTATCATACTCCATCCATCAAATTCATTCTATCGAATACAATCCCACTTTCTTCACCCATCCCCATACTCTCTCACATCTAACTGCTCCCGGTGAGGCATATTTAAGGGATTATTTATAGTGCATAATGCCTACCCCTCTCACTAGCAATCAACTGTTCCATAATATCCGCAAACTTTGCCGGAATACCGCCCTTCTCCTGCTTCGCCTGCCCAACCGCCGAAAGCACATTCTTAATACCAACACCGACACTATCGTTCTCCGTATACTGTTTTAATTGGTTCAACGACTCTTGCAAATCACCTTCGTTATCGAACGCCTGGACTTCTCGCAAGACGGTCGCTAACTCGCTAAAAGTATTGACGTTGGGAACGGCGAATTCACGGTCGAAGCGGAGACCGAGTTGTTCGAGGACGCTATGTTGGGAGGTAGTACCTATGATTAAGAGACGACGTTGCTAGAGAGATGTTAGTAACAAGTTCAAGTAAAGAATGGAAAAAACGTACATTTGGTGGCTGTTTAGTGAGAAGGACCATAAGGGCTTGTAGAACCGCGTTCGAAAATCTGGGACCGATAGGAACCCATTCTATAATACGCTCAATATTGTCTATAACAACAATATTTTGAGGAGATTTGTATGCGTCCATGAAGACTTTGTCGAGATATTGAATCTTTTGCGCATCACCAAAACCAACCATATTCTCGGCGGAAACAAGCTTAATAAAAGGAAATTCTGAACTTTTGGCAATGGCTGCTGCAAGGGCAGTTTTACCAGAACCTGGAGGTCCATGAAGGAGAACCGAGAGGATAGACTGTGAGTCTCTTACGAAATCTACGAACTGACGGCCATCTTTGAGAATTGTATCAATGTGCCTGCTAAAGGGTAAGATACCTGCTGCCATGGCGCCTTCAAGTTCTTTTTCAGACACACCAAAAGCGGCCTTGACTTCTTCGAGGGCATGCATAAAATCGTCCCGATTTACCTTCATGTTTTCAATATCGTCGCTGACACCTGCTACGGTCCCAACTTTAACGTGTCGATTGAAAGCAAATGATGAGGCTGATTTAACGAGACCGCCAATTTCAGCCCCCGAAAAATTCTTGGTCAGGTGAGCGAGTTCAGCGAGGTTGACATCGGTATCCATGACATCGTTCTGTAACATTTTAGAAGTATGAATCTTAAGGATTTGTGCTCTGCCGGCTTCGTCTGGCAGAGAGATTTCCATGTGAACTTCCAAACGTCCAGGTCGAAGTAAAGCGTCATCGATCATATCCATACGATTGGTCATTCCAATAAGAAGAATATTATTGAGCTGGTCAACACCATCCAGTTTAGACAACAGTTGATTGACGACACTGTCTCCAACACCAGTTCCACCGCCAGCACCACTTCCTCTCTGTTTGCATACAGCATCCAATTCGTCGAAAATGATGATATGGAGACCACTCTCGTCTCCCTTTTCCTTGTACTCCTTTTCGGCATCGGCAAAGAGCTTTCGGATGTTTTCCTCGGATTGACCAACGTACTTATTAAGTACTTCGGGTCCGTTAATGACCTTGGGCTCTCTTGAGTTCAACATCTTTCCGATTTGGCGAGCAATAAGCGTTTTTCCGGTACCCGGAGGCCCAAATAGAAGGATACCCTTCACGTGCTGAATACCCAATTTTTCTATCAGGCCAGGGGGGAAGATACGAGAAGCGAAAGCTCTTCGAAAAATAGCACTGAACTCTGTATCTAGACCACCAATACCCATATTTTCGAATTTGAAGTCCGGCGCAATGATAGAATTAGCGGCTGGTCGCTTACTTGATCCCTTCAGCTTAATGGGCGATTTTGCATCCTTGTAGAACGTAATGGGGGTCGTCCTCACCAAGATACCCCGAGCTTGTGGAGCGCTGACAGTGGGAGATGGTGCAGCATTTTGGTCCATACTCAGGTCAGCTAATTGAACTGTTTTCACAAGAAACGACAAAGGGACGTTCTTATGATCCATCAGCAACCTTTGACCGGGGGCGAAGACTTGGTTCTCGAACCACTTGATAAACACGCTGGCCAGTTCATCTTGGTCATAAGGTACATCTGTGAACTTCTTTGCCGAAGCAAACCCAACCTCGACGTCGAGGGCACCAAGGTAAGCTTGTGGGCCTTGATGGAAAGGATCATATGTTTCGGCGACTATTCGATCCATCAGTCCAACATTACACCATGTTCGTTGTGGATCCGATAAACTTATGCATCCTGGAGGAAAACTATCCAAGGGTCTTGCAGTAACCACATTCATGCCATTCAACATGAGATATATATCTGATCCGTCCTGGTTGGGTAGGAAGTCCATAGGAGAAACTGCGGACCTTGACGTTGTCAGCATAAACGAGGCCCTACATATGAAATGAATGCTCACAAGTTGCTAAAAATGAATTGGTTTGCCTTTGTTTTATCATCGATTTTGGCAATATTGAGTTGCGCTTTCCTGGGTGACATTGGACCTCTGCCACCAGCAGATTGTCTCATCGGCATAGCTTGTCTCGGAGAGGTCATAGGAGACTTTTCTGGACGTCCTCCATACCCTCCCCTCGGATCATCGTAGCCACCCATGGCAGTGTCTTCTCGCGGTGGAACTGCTGGAGCTCTGCCATAACCTGCTGGTTGTTGTTCCCCTTTTGATGCTTTTGGCCCTTGGCCAAAAAGGTTATTACGGAGATTCATCGATTTTGTTGGGAAGTTCGAGCGTACAGGAAAGTGAGTGTTTCTTGGAACTTGAGAGTATGAGAATTTATTGAAAGGCTGAAAGAACTCGTGGAGATGAAACTCAATTTAAATACTTATGTAGAGGAGGCAAAATAGTGTTGTTAGTCGTAGCCTGCTGCGGAATGATTGATCTGTCCTTTTAGACAATGACACAATGACTCAAAATGCACAATGAACAGATATGGTTTCGTAGGATCCTCTATGCTCTTGGATTCTCGAGTTGGGTATGACAATATAAAGTTTCCAAAGTGGACTGTGCCTTGTGCCTTGTGTGTTGTGTGTTGTGTGTTGCGACTGTTGTCTCTTGTAGGTTTGACATCAGCGAGCCGGCGACCGAGCACAATTAATGTTTGGATTGGCCTTATCATCCCCGGAATCCCTTATCGCAACCTCTCAGCCTTGACCTAGATTTCTTTGTCCAAGGTGGAGATCAATAACTTCGTTTACCAGTTATGCCTCTGTAAGTTTTGTTGTATTTAATGATTATTCCCTGAACAGATTACTAATTATTGCTAGCCATCTGTTGGGTAAAAAGTCGTGGAATGTCTACAACAAAGATAACATCGAGAAAGTCCGACGTGATGAAGCTATCGCGAAAGCCAAAGAGGAGGCGGAGGAGCAGCAGATGCAAGAATTAGATGCGGAGCGTCGCATGCAAATATTACGAGGAGAAACACCTACACCATTACCAATAGAGGACAAACCAGAAGATGATGATGGTCCGCGAGAGAGACGTTCGCATGGTTCTGGGGAAGAACGCAAGAGGAGGCCCAGGAAGAAGAATGGAGAAAATGATACTGATTTCGAGATGCGTATTGCAGCTCAAGATTCCCAGTTTTCAAACCAAGACCGTCAAATTGTTTTACAAAAATCTACAGATGCGCCATTAGTTGATCACGACGGACATATTGATTTATTTCCACAAGAACATCCACACAAACCTCGAGTAGAGAAGAATACGGAGGCTGCGAAGGAAACAGAGAAGAAGAAGAAAGAATACGAGGACCAGTATACAATGCGGTTTTCGAACGCGGCAGGGTTTAAACAAGGTCTCGATGGTCCGTGGTACTCGAAGTTAACGACAGAGGTGAAAGCTATTGATGATGATAACCCGGGTAAGGATGCATGGGGAAATGAAGATCCGAGGCGAAAGGAAAGGGATGTGGCAAGGATTGTGTCAAATGATCCATTAGCTGCCATGAGGCAGGGTGCTGCTCAAGTACGACAGGTAAAGAAGGAAAGAGAACAATGGATGAAGGAGAAAGAAAGAGAAGTGAGGGAGCTGGATGCAGAGGAGCGAAGAAACAAAAGGAAACGAAGACATGATGACGACGTGGGACATGATGATCTGGAAGGGTTCCGTTTAGATAGACCTGAAAAGAGGTCACGAAGCTCTCATCATGAGGCTGATAGACATCGACATCGTCGGAGGTCAGAAAGAGATGAGAGTGATCGATATCGACACAAACATCATCATCGACATCATCATAGAGATTGAAAGATCTATTACTTTAGTATTACAATTTATAGCCCTAATTTAATACCCTTAATACTCAATCTTAACCTCAAACATATCCTTTTTAACCAATTCACCCAAATCACTCGCCTCCATCTCCTCCAATGCCTTCTTGACCTCCTTATACGTCCCCTCTGACAAGCCATCCTTCCTACTACTATAAATATCCAGCCCCTGCGGCGTAAACAGACTCGGCGCAAACCAAGTAACCACCCACCTCTCCATCTCTCCCTTCCCCACCCCCTCCATAC